CATATTTTAGAATTGTTCTATTATAATGTTAAATATAAATTACTACTCATGTATGCATAGGCATGTGTATTTATACATATGTCTATAGATGTTAATTAATGTCCCTCTAGCTATGTAGTTGCTGATATCAACAGATGTTAATAAAACTCTAGAAGAACAAGTGCAAATTTTAGGAAGAATCTTTTCTTGAAGGTATGTATCTTTAAAAAATACTCCTACATATAAATTTTAAAATGACAAAAACACAAATCTCAATAAAAATACATCATAAATAAAAATAATAAAATATTGCCACCTTATAAGACTCCAGATTCCCGCAAAAACAAACCCGCCTCCTGCATCTGAGAAAGGAAATCTCCCCCTGCACCTGCTCCTGGGATCTATCCCGTCCTCAGTGAGTCCCGAGCGCCCCCTGGTGGCCTCGCTCTCTCCTGCAGGGAGTTTTGTGTCTGGTCTCACACTGACCTCCCCTTGCTGTGTGTTTGGCATAGTAATACACTGCCGTGTCCTCGGTTTTCAGGCTGTTCATTTGCAGGTACAGTGTGTTCTTTGAATCATCTGTTGAGATGGTAAATCTGTCTTTCACAGACACAGCATATTCTGTCGTGTAACTGTTAGCTTTCTTTCTCATTAAACTTACCCACTCCAGTCCTCTCTCTTGAGCCTGGTGGGCCCAGTGCATGTAGAGTTACTGAAGGTGAATCCAAAGGCTGCACAGGAGAGTCTCAGGAATCTCCCAGGCTGTACCAAGCCTCCCCCAGACTCCACCAGCTGCACCTCACACTGGACACCTGCAAACACAGAAACACCCTGCTGAGAAACTGCCACACATATCCACTGTTTCTCTCACTCATGTCTACTCACACTCAGTTTCAATAGTTCTCTACGATTTACCTTTTAAAAGAGCAACAAAAAAAAACCCAGCTCAGCCATGACTCCATGGCGAGTCCTCTGTGTTCAGTCCTGATCACCAAATGAAAACAGCTGAAAATCCTGGAGTTGTGACTCCACTCCCAGAGCTGCAGGGTCAGGGCTAGGCTGGTTTTCATCAGCAGAGGGAGGGCTCTATTTGCATATATGCTACTCTATAGCAAGCTCTGGGGTGAGAGGCCTTTGGAGAGAGTGGGGCTCACAGCACGTGACAGTGTCCTGGGCGAGATTTGTGATACTGATAGCATTTGGGAAATTGTAGTTTGTTATTGTAAGTTTGTTCTGTGATAAACCCTTAAAACTTATAATTTTTATAATTTT